CTGATTAAAAGGGAGATGGCTGAGATAGCCCGGCTGAACCTACTCAGCCCCGCCAGCGTGTTCGCTGCAATCAGAAAGGCCCCAGTGGATGGAGCCCCCGCGCGCGGGCTCGTCGGTTGACTGGCCGAGCTCAGCAATGGCGGGCTCTGGAAACGCCAGCTCGAGCGTGCTTCGGCCGGCCTGGCTCCCTGAAAAAGCGTCGCTTGTGGCTCCCCCCCTCCGCCCTCTGGCATCTCCTTGTCTGCCTTTCGCCAGGCCCCCATGCGCCCCAGGAAGGGCCCGAATGCCTCGATGCGGGGGCCCGCCAATGGACTTCATCACGGCGTTGAAATTAATGATGGCGCCCCGATTCTGGGAGGACGTGGCCCCTGCGCGCCCGATGCGCATGGGCATTTCCGCGAGACCTTGGAGCTGCACATCTGCGGGTAGCTCGAGATGCCAAATTTGGGCGCCGTCCCGCGACTGGTCGGTCTGGCGACGAAATGGCATGATCGCTTTCCTGTGGGTCTGGGGGGCGATGGCTGGTAGCTCACACGCCGCGACTGGCCGCGATGGGCGCGGGTCGGGCGACGCCGGGAAGACCCCCCGACGGTCTGAAAACAAATCTGACTCGTCCTGGGCGATTATTGGCAGTCTTTTGTTTTAATTTCTCGGGGCTGCCAAGCGTCGCTGTCTCTCATCCGCCTGCGACGCAGTTCCGCATCTGGCGTCGTTATCGAGGCCCCCGCTGCTTCTAATGCGCATTGGATTGAGATGCCCCAGGGACTTTTCGTGACCATGCAGTGCAGTATTCTCGCCCTGGACACGTTCGTCCGCGCTGTCTGCCCTACCCCGTGGACGCCGCCCCCGCGGGCGCCTCGCGCGAGGGCCCCCAGGCGCCGCCGTGTAAAGCGGGGGCTGGCTTGCAACTCCCGGACCGCGCTGAACTGCAATGGCGCGCCAGAGAGGCAGGCATGCCAATCGAAACGAACACAGCGCGGGGGAGAGGTGACGCGCAAAGCTCGCTGAGCATCAAACCGATTGCCGCTGAGAAATCGAAGTGGACAAGCGCATAACTGCCAACTCACTCCGCGCCTGGACACGTCGGCCTCGTCTGACACCCGCGCTGCTTTCCAGGGCTGGCATCTGGCGCCTCGGGGCCTGATGGGGATGGGGGGGTCCGTCTGTTGCGCAAAAGGGGCCCCCAGATGGCGCGCGAGGGTGTCGCGCGCGGCGCCCGGGGCCGGGCTGCTCTGATCCCGGGAGATGTCCTTGCACGGGGCCCCCCGAAAGCGCCCCGCGGCTGCCTCAGCCCAGTGACAGCGCAGGCCCCCCCCCCCCCCCCCAACGGTCAAGAGGGCGCTGTGCGGGAATCTCTCTGGGCGCGGCGAGCCCGGGGACCCCGCGGCAGTGGAGAGACAGAGGGCAGCTCTTCAGAACCTGGACGGCGTTGACCGAATCCCGAAATCTGCTGGCGATGAAGAGCAGTCGAGGCGTTGACCTAAGGAACCCTAAATAAGGAGCGAGGCCCTTTCTTCCATAAGTTAAACATCGATTTCCAGCCGAAAACATAAGTGAAGCCGGAGGCAAGCTTTGAAACACTCAAGGAACGCGGAGCCCCTCCCCAACGAAAAGGGTTCCTCCTTCAGGGCCCCGACTGTAATCCAGCTTGGGCCGGCTCTGATTGGCGGAAGAAATAGGGCCTGGCGGATCGATGAGCGCCGAGCTAAAGCGGTCCAGGCTGATGGACTTCTGGATGGCTGCGCGCGGCGCGTGGATGCCTGCCGCTGCAATCGCTGGCGCGCGGAAGAAACTTTGGGCCCGCCCGGCGGCGGCCGGCAACTCGAACTTCGTCTTGTTTCGACCGGCCGGAAATTCAAGGTGGAGGGGCATGAGTACGAAACGAACGTGGGGTGTCTTGGGAGTTCGAGGACTATCGCTGCTGCGCGGCCTGAGGCGAGCGTGGGAAGCGGGGGGGGACGGATGCCGAAGTCGAAGCCCGTGCGGATCAGGGGCGCGCACCCTGCTGTAGGCTCGTAGAACATGCCGAGCGCTGCCTCCGCGACGATGAAGTGCCGGCCTGATGTGTGGCACCGCTGCTCCACATCAACAAGTCTGTCACATGTCCAACAAATCTCTCGATGGCAAATTGCCGGTACACTGGGATACTGCTGATACTCGGCAAGCGCGTTCCACTACTTGCAAAATAGCTACTCGCAAACGGCCTGGATCCGCCGCAGGTGGTTTACGATACGCTACATAGAGGAATCCATATGTTTCCCAGACGTTTGCGAGTAGGCACTTCGCGAGTAGTGGAACGCGCCCGGTGGGATAAGACAAAACTTGCGGCAGCCTCCCAACAGCTGCCCTTGATGGTACGATATACATGCCCCTGGTGTCGCCATTGCCCTGGCGGCTGGCCCTTGGTCGCCAACGTGCGCAACTTGGTGACTGCCCTGTTGGCCTCTTCGCACTTGCCTGCGAGCGCCTGGCCAGCTTTCCCAAGGGCATGGGCTGCGTCGGTAGAGCCACGCTTCTTGGGAATAGGTTGGCCCATCCAACCATCCAGCGGATTGTCGATATCCGATAGCGTCGGGCGCCCCCGCCCCTGATTGTTCCTGCTTGGGCCCTCCTGTCGGCGTAGGCGGTCCTGCCACTGGCGCCGATGGTCGTGGCTGAGGCGAAGGCCGAAGCTGAGGCTGAGGCTGAACCGCTGGCGGCCACGCGGCTGGTGGCTCGTCGGGCGGGCGAACGGCCGCCTGCAGAGAGTCTTCTCGACGTCGTCGGTCTGCTGCTGGAGTTTTAGTGGGGACGCCACTGGTGGGCCCAGCCTGGAGGAGGTCCAACAAGCTCGAGATCTGCGGGAAGTATTCGTTCTTGGGGTGGGAGGGCTGCTGGAGCACGGTGCGCAGGGCGATGGGGGAGCTGCGCCTCGAGCTGCCGCATCTCGGCGGTGCACTCTCCAGCGAGTCCACCTCGCCCGCCAGCTCCGAGACGTTGGCCACGTGCTCGTCGATCTGCTCCGAGCGCTTCCGGATGCGACCTTTGGTCTTGGCGACCTGGTCTCGCAGGGGCTGGGACTGCTGGTCCAGGGGCTTGTCCTGGAGGGCCTCGGCTTCCGCCTTCGTGAGACTGACGACGGCGTGGGCGCAACTCTCTCCGCGCGCGCCTTCCCCCTGCTTCCAGGAATGCGCCAAATCCTGAAAAGGCTGTTCCCCCCGAGTCGCGCTCCGGCGTGTATCCAAGGGGTACGGAGTTCCCTCCGAGTCGCGCAGGACGAAAGAGCTTGGCGCGTATCCAGAGGGAAGGCTGTTCCCGCTGGGCTGGTTGTGGTGTGCTCGGGGTGCTGCACCCATGGTTCCTTTTTGAGACGGGCCCATCTGTTCCGTGGAGCCCCTTGCGCGCCTGCCTTGGGGGTCGTTTTGAGCCTGGGACGAGGCTCCCTGGGGCTGCGGAAAGCGGGGGCCGCAGGAGGAGGAGGCGGAGGAGGAGGCGGAGGAGGAGGCGGAGGAGGAGGAGGAGGAGGAGGAGGAGAGCTTGGAGCAAAACTGGTACTTCCTGTCCAGGAAGAGCAGGCCTGATCATCCCGAGCGAGATCAGCACACGTAGGGTCTCCCATTGCCTGCCGCCGTGGTGTCGCGCCGCTCTTGCAGCACGCGACACAGAAAAGGATGGGAGCGAGCTGAATGGGCCGCCCGGGCCCATGCAGTGAGGGCCGAGAGAAGGATGCCGAGCAGCCAAGCTGTTCTGCCCGACGAGATCACCGGCATTCACGTTATTTCACCCGAAAACCTGCATCTTGAGCCAAAACTGCTGCGGGAGAGGAGGAGGAAGAGGAGGAGGAACAGGATGATGATGATGATGATGATGATGATGATGATGATGATGATGATGATGATGATGATGATGATGATGATGATGATGGTGAGGAGGAGGAGGAGGAGGAGGAGGAAGAGGAGGAGGAGGAGGAGCAGGAAGATCGGGGGAAGGCCGAAAGGAACTGACGCCGAACGCATCGGATCCGCATGTGTGGCCCGCGCTTGGGCCTGAGCGCCGGTGCGAAGCATGGGAGAAAAAAGCGCCGATCCCGAAGTGCGGCCCACGCTGCAGCAGGGCAGGGCCGAGGAGGTTCCGATCGAGAACGGCAGATGACACGTCGTACGCGAGGGAGGCGGCAGCGCGCCGGCACGCTGTCAGGAGACAGGAGAATAGCATCCTCATTTGGTAGTCGCCTCACAGGCTTGCACGCTGACAGCAGGACGGTCCGAAACTTTTGCTTCGCGTGTCATGGCGGCGGCCCCGGCGACATGCTCTGCCATGCGAGCGGGTAGCGTGTCGCTCTGCTCCGCGGGGCGGAAGGCTCGGAGAAGCCAGGGACGTTGACATTTGGGGACAAGGAAGTGGATAGCGTGTCGCGACGAGGCGAGGTGGGCCAGAACGCCAGAACTGGCGGAGCGACACGCTATCTAAAAGTTCCTGGCTGCATTCGCATTGAACAATTGTAGAAGGGCGGCGTGGGTTAGAGTGGATCGCGGCATCGTCCTCATAGTCACCCATTCTCCTTCCCCCCTCGCTGCCTCACTCACTTCGTCCCTCCCTCTCTTTACCGCCTGCCAGCTCGGCCGTACCAAGCCGCGCCTGCCTCCCCCCATCCTCCTGCGGCCTCGAACTCCGCAACGATTCGCCCCTGCGACGGAACATGAACGCCCGACACCAAGACTCTCCTCGTCCTTCTGCTCCGCTCCTCCCCGTGATCCTCCCCCCCCCCGCCCACACCCGTCTCTACTTAGCCAGCAGCAGGGATGGGACGAGGAATGGGCTGTCCTTTTCGGGAATCCCGATCCTGCCGCCCAGCTAGGGCATCCATCCCCCTGGGAGGCTGCGGGCTTTTGCATCAGCGCGGCGGCGGCCCGGGTCGTGGAGGGAGCGCTCTGCGCCACGTTCTACGAGATACCCTTCTCTCCGCCCCTCCTCCTCCTTCCTCGTCCGTCTCCTCGCCCTCTTCCTCGCAGTGCCGCGGCCTGAGTGCGCGTACCTGGCGCACATGGGCCCGACGCCCGGCTTGTAGTCGAAGGCCCAGCCCCTGCCGTCGGCCAGCCGGAGGTACCTGGTCACGAAAAGGGGGCGGGGTCGCGGGAAACACCTCTGCTGAACATCAGCGGCCCCACGCCCTCGAAGTCATGGGGGCCAGGGAGAGGGGAGGAAGAAGGCGTTCCTCTCTCTCTCTCTCTCTCTCCCCCTCTCTGAGCTGAGGATACCTGCCTGCCACAGGGGAGACAAAGATGACAGGGATAGGGGTCGGAGGTAAGGAGGGATGCAGAGGAGAGGGAGGCGGAGGAGGAGGAAGCGGAGGAGGAGGAGAAGGAGGAAGAGGAGGAGGAGGAGGAGGAGGAGGAGGAGGGGGAGGAGGAGGAGGAGGGGGTTGTTGGAGGAGGAGGAGGAGGAGGAGGAGGAGGAGGAGGAGGAGGATAGGGATGAGGAGAAGAGAGGAGGACAATAATGGTGAGGGCGAGGTGAAACACGCAGACCTAGAATGAGAGGGGAACAACTTATGAAAGGCAGGATGCGGATTGTAAGAGAAAACGTCGAGGAAGGGGGGGGAGGAACTGAGTGGGAGGCGGAGGAGGTTGAAGAGGATCTGGAGGATGACGAAGAGCGAAAGAGGTGACGGAGAATGATGATGAGGAGGAGGAGGAGGAGGAGGAGGAGGAGGAGCGTGTGTGAAAGGATGGAGGAGGAGCATCAGGAAGAGGAGCAGGATCATCGCGAGCTAACTGACGCAGCTGGAAACAGGAGCTTCTGGTCGTCGTCATCCCCGTCTTCAGCCGCACGGTGTTCATGCTCCTGCTCCTGGTCCTGCTTCTTCTCGTCCTCCTCCTTCTCCTCCTCTTCCTCTTCCTCTTGTTCCTCCTCCTCCACCTTCTCCTGTTCGTCAACCATCAACTGCGGCTCGCCAGCGGGACTCGCTCGCCCGCGAGGTATGATAGAAGTCCATGCGCCGTCTCCGCCTCCCCTCCTCTGCCTCGACGACGCTTTACTGTTGGCTCACCCCTCTCGGATACTGGCTACTGCACACAAGATCGAAAACGTTGCTTGTCTTTTTCGTGCGGTACCCGCTCGGAACGGCTCCGGCCGATCCAAATGGCGACGTCCGTGTCCTGAGGACCGCAGGCCAGGACAGCGGCCTCTGCATATCAACACGCAGCGGCGCAACTACCTCCCTTCCTTCACTGTTTGGCGTTGCTTGTAGCCCTGGGAGCCTGGTAGGGAAAACCCTCCTCGTACAGCGCAAGCAGTGGACAAGGAAACATTGGATAAGGACTCCAAGGTTTGGAAGCCGGTGGGACACCAATCCTCGACCATGTATATCACCGTTGCCCTCATCTGATCAAAAATCCTCCACGGCCTGAAGCCTCCTAGGCATACTCCTTCACGAAAGCCCCCCACCGTACTCCTCCGCCCCCAGTTGGTTCTGGGCAAAAAAAGTCTTTCGTAATAGGGCTACACAAGCACATGCAATAAATCATCCAGTGGCGCGAAGCGCGTGGCAGCCACGTGCTGATATTGCGCGACGTGCGCATCCCGCGAGATGGATTGCACGAAACATTGCGCACCTGTTCGTTACCCCATGTGCAAAAGAATCCTGAGCGCGAGTCTGACCCCGCTTGCCGAACCCCTCGCCGCCAGGCGGCCCAGAGCACCTGACCCCGCTGGGGCCCATGAGCTCCTCCGCCACCAGGAAACTGTCTCCTGCGACCCCACGGGCCAGCGTCGTCGCAGCTGCCCGTTGCGGGGCGCGCGCCGAAGCGGCGTCGCCGCCGTCGTCGACGACGACAACCACGACGTCGTTGTCGCCGCCGTTGTCGCCCGTCGTCGCCACCATCGCCGACATCTTCGAAATCACCGCCGTCGTCGTCGTCGTTGTCGTATTCGTCATCGTCGTCGTCGTCATCGTCAAGGCAGGAAGTGGGGGAGGAGGAGGAAGAAACCAACGGATAGGGAGGGGTGGTGGTGACCGTCCTCGTGCGGTGCGTCGCCACCGCCTCCACCGACGTCGTCTAGATCGCCGTCGTCGTCGTCGTCGAGGAGAGGAGAGGGAGGACGAGAAGGATGAGAAGGGGAGGGCGGGGGGCAGGACTGGAATAGGAGGGGGCGAGAAGGAGCAGGGGAAGCATCATCATCACCATCAGCAGCATCATCATCAACACCAGCATCAACAAGAGCAGCAACAGCAACAGCAGCACGAGAAGACCGGCTGGCCCGGGGAGTGGGTGGGGGTGAGGGGCGCGCTGGAGCCCGAGACCTGCGCTGCTGAACCCTTCTCGAAACAAGCGCGCAAACGGTCATGGACGCATTCAGACGCGTTTGCTTCCCCAACCCTCCTGCGTTGGGCGTTTTCGTTCGTCTACTGCACTGTGGTCGCGTCCCTCGTTCCCCCCTCCCCTTTTTTTGTTGGTAGTTTTTTGTTGTTTCTCTCTTTCTCTCTCGCACTCCTGCATGCTCATAGCTAGTTCAGCATAACCCATCTACCCCCCCCCCGCTTACTTCGGGGATGGACAGACCCCCCTTTAGCAAAACGTGTTCTAGTGAAAACGACCTGAGGCCCAAACCTGGCGGGCGCAAGCCTGGAAAATAACGGCCACGGCGCCCGCTCGAGAGCCGAAAACGGACAATTCACTAATCGACGAGTCACTGTTGGGGGTTCTGCCCCCCACCGCTTACTCTCTTAGCCCTGCACCCTGCGCCCTGCACCGCAGCGGAGCGCACGCCTTGACGCCCGCTGAGAGCACGCCCGGGAGCGCCCGCTGCACGCGGACTTGCGCGCGCCGCTCGGCGCGCCCGCGCGCCGGCAGCAGCCCGCGCTGGAGCTCGCGGTCGGCGGATGGTGCGCTCCCCTGCAGCAGGGACTCCTCCTCTGCAGCTGCGCCGGGCTCCTTCGAGGCAGCGTCGAGGATGTGACCCACGGCCGGGTGCCGAAGGGTTCCATCCGGCGAGCGGTGAGTCGCGGACGGATGGCCGAAGAGCTCAGCGTCGAAAGTAATAGCCTCTCACATGACCTCCCGCCCGTCCCTGTTGCGCCTCCTGAAGCCCAGCTCGAGCACGACCTGCTCGAGCAGCGCGGCGTACCAAGCGACGCGGCCGGTTCTTTCTTTCTTTCTTTCTTTTTGTTCTCTCTCTCTCTCTCTCTCTCTCCGAAACTGTAGCCACTTGAGTGACGCCCACGCGGACCGAAATGAGACCTCGCCATCCCTGGGGAGCTGGGATCGGCGGAACTGTCGCCACTTTCGAAGGGTGCCGGAGGCACCAGCGGAGTGACGCCCCACGCAGACCTGAACTAGACCTCGCCATCCCTGAGGCGGATGCGATCGGCGGAACTGTCGCCACTTTCGAGGGCTGGTGGGGGGGGTCCAGCGGAGTGACCCCCCACGCAGACCTGAATTAGACCTCGTGGACTCCTGGACATTCGCACGCTCGCCCTGGTGCTGACACGGGGGGGAGGGCCCTCCGCCCCCCCCTGGCGCTGGCAGTTCCCTGGGGCGGGCAGGAGGACGCAGCATCTCTTCGGGCAGGCAAGCAGGGCAACCCGCCCAACGCCCCGTCCTGACGTGCTCCGGGCGTGCACCGCGCGAAGCGCGAGGAATCGGTTGAGGATCTGTCCCCAGAGAGCCCCGCGGCACGGGCCCTGCGGAAACGCCACGGGCGGGCACACAGGGCACTCTGCAGGGGATGGAGGCCCTGGCCGGGCTTGCCCGCAGACCGCAAGACGCGGCGGCCGGGCCTCGTGGACGAGACGACGGCAGGACGCAAACAACTTCCGATGGAGGTGAATCGAGAGTCTCGGAGACCTTGCGGCTCTGGAACATGCATCGGGCGATGCGGCCGTTTCAGCGCGCTCGGGAAGGCTCTGAGAGCGTTCCAGATCGCTCTGGAGCGACGCATTTCCATCCTGGGCCTGCCCGAGTCGAGACTGCTCGACCCCGAGCCTTCTCGCGTCGTGGACCCTCAGAGCGGGAAGTTGCGTTGCGACGTGCTGCCTCCCAAGTGGGGCCCTTACGGGACCCCGGGGCCGTCGAAGAGCTGCTCAGTGCGACAAGCCGGCCCTGGCGGCCATGGGGGAGTGGGTCGGAACTCTCGGGGCTGCCCTGACTTGAAACAAACAATCCACCGGATCTCTGGGACCTTAGTGGAGACTGCTCGGCAAACGTTCGGCTCCCTGATAGGGCCCTTTTTGATACCGTGCGTCTTTTGACCTCTATTACCCCGGACCTCACCGCGTGACGCTGCAACAACAGACAAGAGCAATCGAACTTCGTGGAAGGCCCCTCCTCCTCCCCCTCCTCCTCCTCCTCCTCCTTTTTTTTCTCTTCCTACTCCTCCTCATCCTCCTCCTCCTCCTGCTCCACCGATCTCCTTCCCTCCGTCCAGCTCCAGCCCTCCCTTCCTCGATTGTGTCGGCCCTTCCTGTCCCTTCGCCTCCCTCATCCCCCCTCCACTTCGACGTCTGCCTCCTCGACCCCCCTTCCTCTTCCTCATCTGTCATCCTCTTGACACTTATCCTGTTCCTGGTCCCTCTGCTGCTGCTGCTGCTGCTGCTGCTGCTGCTGCTGCTGCTGCTCATCCTCATCCTCCACACTACTTTACCACCGCCTCTTCCATGCTCCTCCCCGTCCGCCTCTTAATCCTCTTGAGTGCTCGCATAGACGATGAACACCTTCCTCTCTGCTCCTCATTGTCCTCTCCTTCTCTCTCTCTCTCTCTCGCTCCTTCTTCTCTATTCCTCTCCACGTCATCCTTGTTCCTCCTCCTTCCCTTCCAAGCACTTCACCTTCCTCCGCCTTCACCCCTTCCTCCTCCGCCGCCTCCTCCCCCGCCCCTTCCCCACCCTCAACACCCTCCTCTTCCTCCTCTTCCTCCTCCTCCTCCTCCTCCTCCTCCTCCTCCTCTTACTCCTTCTCTTCCTTCCCCCACTGCTCCTCGTCCTCCTCCTGTCCCTCCTCCTCCCTCCTCCCTCCTCCTGTTCCTCATGCTCCTGCTCCTCCTCATCATCCCTCCTCCACCTTTTCCTCCCTTTCCTCTTCCTCCTCCCCCTCCGCCTCCTCCTCCTCCTCCTTGTCGTCCTCACCCCCCTCCTGCTCTTCCTCCTCCTCCGCCTCCCTGAACGTACTCCTGCGCCGCCTGCCAGCTTCTTCCCGATTCCACATCCTCCTCCATCGCGAGCGCGAGAACGCGCGCGGGCGGGAGCGCGCAAGGGGGAGGAAGGGAAGGGTGTGTGTGTGTGTGTGTGCGTGTGCGTGTGCGTGTGCGTGTGCGTGTGCGTGTGCGTGTGCGTGTGCGTGTGCGTGTGCGTGTGCGTGTGCGTGTGCGTGTGCGTGTGTGTGTGTGTGTGTGTGTGTGTGTGTGTGTGTGTGTGTGTGTGTGTGTGTGTGGTGGGGGGGGGTCGGAGGTATGGGGGAAGGGAAGGGAAGCTGTTGTTGTGGATCGCGCTCAACGCAGGTGAATCAGAAGAGATCGCCTCCGCCGCACTCAGGGTCGGAATCCATCTCCGACCCGTCTCGACAAGCACCCTCTCGAAGCGCCTGGACACGCGGCAGGTCTCGCTCGAGCAGGCCGAAGGACTGAAGCAGAGTCCCCCTCAGAGCAAATCCTGCAACCCCATGCCATTTCGGAACCACAGAGGCTCGGTCGACTGGTGGTGGCGGAAACAACTTTGCCTGGCTCACGGTCTCCCTGTCCAGTTGCATTGTCATTTGGGTGGCACCCATGCTTGTTTCGACCCAACTGGGACTTGATGCCTGCGCTCGCGGGCGCACCTTTGCACCGCGCTCGCAGCACCTGGCCTGGCTTAAATTCCGTGCAGTATGCACCGCGCCGAGCACGGGGCGACTCGACAGTGCACTCGAGGAGCTCGTGCCCCCAGACGGACTATGCCTCGGGGCCACGTCAGGCCAGAGGAAAACGGGCTTCTCTCTCCCCGCCACCGCCACATCGTCACCGCCTATCAACCCCGTCCCCTCCCACAAGCGGGTCGCCGTCAGGAGCATCCCCGTCCTCGACGAGCTCCTGCTCATGAGGCTCCGCAACTCCGCTGGCTTCATCCTCGCGGCCGAGGCCAACCGTGTCGGCGCGCGGGAGCATGAGGCAAGCACCGCCCACTGCCGGCCTCACGCCCAGCCCAATGCCCAGCATCACGCTCCAACTCACGACACAATCAGCTTGGGCTACTCCGTGCAAGAGCGCACATGCCTTCGAATACGTGTCGGAACTAGCGTTGGCCTTCTTCTCCCACCAAATGGTCCTGCCCTGGCCCACTTCGACGGATGCCGCATGGGCCAGGGCCCTGTGGGCTTCAAAATCCAACTCCTGAAAGCTGCTCCAGAACAGGGACAAAAGGTGACCTCTGGAGCTTTTGCAGACGACCCCGAGGCAGAGCCCCTCTGGAGGGCCTCCAAGGTCGTGGCACAATGAAAATAAATTGGAATGGCGGCATATCTACTTTGGACAGCATATGGATGGCATAGTCCTCGCCGTCCTTCGAGGATTGGCGAGGGCCCATCTCGAGAAGCACAGGCCCGTAGGTTGCAGAGATGATTCCACCGAACAGATCCACTTGGGCCAGTGTCCAGCCCGCCCTGGCAAATCCTGGTAGGCTGGCAAACATTGAGGATGAGAAAAACGGCGAAGGAGAGGGAGAAGAAGGAGGAGGAGGAGGAGGAGGAGCAGGGGGAGGGGGAAGAGGAGGAGGAGGAGGAGGAGGAGGAGGAGGACGAGGACGACGACACGACGAAAGCGTGCGGATCGCGCCAGCGCCGCGGGCGAGCGGCCGCGCGCGGCGGGCCTGGCATCAGCAGGTGCCCCGTCCTGGGACCGTCGACGTCGGGCACCGCGCGCGTCTCCAGCGAGGGCAGGCCGTAGCGCTGGACCCAGATGTTGGCGTCTGGCCCCAGGCCTCGCGTGCCACCGCGCAACGAGCAACCCAGGGCAGGAGTGACCGCTGGTGCGCGGCTTTCTCGGGGGGGGGGGGGGGGGGGGCGAAAGGGCGAAAGGGGGGTAGGCTGGCAACGGGCAAGGCAGAGAGACAGCTCACGCAGCTGGTTTCCAGGGGACCTCCTGGCGCCGGGAGGTCCCCATGTGTCGAGGAACGGGCCCGGCGGCGGGGCCGACACAAGCTGCAGGCAGCAGATTTCGAACCCCGCCCCCTTTCCCATTCGCCCCGCTTTCCTTTCGTTCGGTTCGCTTGGTGCGCGGCTTCCGGGGCCGCGGCGGGGCCAGATTCAGATGCGCAGGCCGGTGCTGGGGGCCACCCCTCGGGCCTGCACCGAAGGTTACTCCAGCGAACGGTCACTCCGTACGCGTGGCCGACTCGCGCGGGGCGGAGACTGGCTTGTTAAACGATGGCGTTTTTCGCAGGGAGTTTTGACGCTGGCGGCCGTTGCCGGGCCCTAGAACGGGTCCAGGACGAGAACTTGCCCACGGAGAGGGGGTGGAAACCCTCTGGAGCCGCGGGCTGAAAAAGTGCCATCGTCGGAGATCTGGCCAGCAGGAGACTCGAGAATTTGTTGTTGTAGTCACTGTCGGCCTCTGGAGGCCCTGTTTCGACGCCTGGGGCGGTCGGACATCGATTCGGGACGAAGAACTCCCGCAGGAGGGGGCGGGATTTCGGCCGTCGTCGCCTCTACGCAGGAGTCGCCTATGCACCTCATTGCCTGGCCAGGGCCTTCCTTGGTCCCAGGATGGCCCTGGCCAGGCAGGGTGGTGCATTGATGCCGTCTGCGTGCGAGCAGGAGGGGTCGAGGAATGAGGTGATTAGACGTTCTTGGTCCATTTGGTTCTGGCCCCTCGACGGCGCCTTTGGGGGGCCAAATGATCCTACTGCTGCCGCTGCTGCTGCTGCTGCTCCTGCTCCTCCTTCCTCTCCTCCTCCCCCTCCTCCTCCACCTCCTCCTCCTCAACCTCCTCCTCCTCATCTCGATCTACCTCCTCCTCCTCCTCCTTCTCCTCCTCACTCGCTGTCCTCCTCCTCGTCCTCCTCCCCTCCTCCTCGCGATGAGCCCTCCTCACGTGTCCAGGTACCTCCGGCTGGCCGACCGAAGAGTCCGGGCGCTCGACCACAGACTGGGAGAGGACGGGACGCCCGCATGGCGCGGAGGCCCGCTCCAGTGGCAGAGCGGACGGGCAATGCCGCGGCGCGCGGCTGCGCACGGCGGCGACGGGGTGGACGTCGCTGCCGCACTCGTCCCCCACAGGTGCGGCTGACCCACGACGCGGCAACGAGCAAAAGCTGCGTAACACCTCCCCTCCTCACCTGGCCATCGCTCGGACGTCCATTCCCCGTGCATTGTTCGATTTCGTGCGTGCCTGTTTCGCTATATGATCAAAGATGCTCCTCGATGGTCCTCGCACAGAAAAAATGCACACGTCCGAGCGATGCCAAGTCACTGGCGTCCGGCCAGATTGGAGCCAAATTGGGCAGGGGGGTGGAAGATCGTTCCGCCTCGCATCAGCGCCTCTCTGTCCTTGCCAGCAGAGCGCATGGCGGCGCGAAGAAGTTCGCATTCGTAGCTACGCCCGTCTGTGCTGAGGCGGCGTCAAAGAGCAGCACCAAACAGCGAGCAGCAGGAGACAAGAGGGCGGAGGAGAGGGAAAGGCACGCGGGAAGAAACAAACACACACACACACACACACACACACACACACACACACACACACACACACACACACACACACACACACACACACACACACACACACACACACACACACACACACACACACACACACACACACACACACACACACACACACACACACACACACACACACACACACACACACACACACACACACACACACACACACACACACACACACACACACACACACACACACACACACACACACACACACACACACACACACACACACACCGGGAAACTAATGCGTGCGAGCGCCTGCGGGTTCCGCCCTTGCCCCTCGTACAGTGTGCGCGAACGGGACACGCAAAGACAGAAATAGGAGACGGAAGGAGGGAGTGGGGAAGAGGACAGCGCTTGAAACAACTGGGAGGAAGCGAGGGGAAGATCAAGGATGGGAGGGAGGAGGGAGGGGAAGATGATCACCCTCTCAAAGGCTCAACGGTGCCGCCCACGCCCCCTGCCCTCCAGGCGGTCTGGCCTTGGCGGCCCACAGATTCAAAAGGGGGGAGGGGGGGACAGGGAGCAGGGGAACAGGAACAAGGGGAGAAGGATCGCCCTCGACGATCGTTGATAGAGCCGAGCTTCACTTGCCCCTACTATCAGCGGGAGGGGGGCCACGGGGACGACGCGCACGCATCGCTACTGACGCCTGCAGTCCGTCGGCAAACGTGGCAACTCTAGAGCAAGTCTCGGAGGATGCGTCCGACCATTCCGAGAAGGCTCCGAACCCCCATGGCACACCTCGAGAAGGGAAACGGAGGGTGGTTTTGGACGCGCCCCTGTCCTACAGCCCGAATCGTCCTTTGGCGATCACGGGGGCGGGTTGTGACCTCCAGAGACCGATGACGAATGTTAAAACAACTGGCTACGATTCTTTTTGGCAGCGTCTGGGTCTGCGGGAACGAACGAACGACCACCGCTGCGGATAAGCGTCTGGGCCAACTTAGCTCAGACCAGGCGGTGAGGCCGCGACCTCCGGATCCTGGCGACTGGACACACGCAGAGCGAGGCAGATCAAACGATGGGAGGGAGAGAGAGGAGGGGGAGGAGGAGGGGGAGGAGGGGGAGGAGGGGGAGGAGGGAGAGGAGGGGGAGGAGGAGGAGGAGGAGGAGGAGGAGGAGGAGGAGGAGGAGGAGGAGGAGTGAACTCGCATATGGGGAAAGAAAAGAAAGTGGCCGACCCGACCCGCCTTCGAACCCTTCGGAGGGCGGTCCTGCCTGCTGGTCTCGCCGCTCACCTGGCTCAGCGGCAGCATGAAGGCGCTCCAGCCTTTTCCTGATGGCCCTGCTCGTGGCTGGATCTCTCTGGATCTGGCCGAAATAACCTGCGAGATCGGACTCGCGCCTGATCAATTGAGCGATACGGGCTTTGGCTCAATTATGCAGAGCAGTAGACGTGCAGCTACGATGCTTAAGATGGTTGTAAGAGCTACAGACAAGATTGAACTACAGAGCGACGCTAACAAACGCCTCCGAGGGAATCGGAATCAGTCGATACATACCCAGCCGCTGGACACGATCACTGAAAACCGAAGGCAGAAGGGGAGACGAGGAAGGAAAAGGCCGAGCTCCGAGAACACAGGACAGCCAATACTGTGCCTCAAAGAGTCCCCAGAAGGGAGACCGCAACCGATGCAAATCTTGATGGTGCCCTTACACCGAACACCGCACGCCCAAACATTACAAACCGCTTTGAACAACCAAGTTAGGACGCAAGAGGGAACCTTTTGGGCTACCCCAGGAAGGCATGACGAACATGCTGGGCATCACTTCTGGATAAAGGAATACTCGTTGTTTTTCAAGACGTCCGCATACCTTCTGAACGTAGAAGACTCTTTCGTGATGTTGACAAAGCATTTCTCCATCCCCTTTGGATGAGGGGGGCCTCCCGCGGAGCCTCAGGAATACTGTATCGGGCGGTGTGGATATCGTACAGCGTGTTCAATACACCGCCCTGCCATGCTGGATGGTGATCCCACGCGGTACAGCACTCGTCGGTGCCTGCGAGATTGAAAAAGAGCTCCGCAACCTCCCAATGTGCAGACACGCGCTTGGCGACCGGCGACTCGGCTAGGAGGCGTATCTGGGCGGCTTGGATAAGGAAGCCAATCTGTTCAGATTCTGCAGGGCCTTGGAGGGAATGGCATTGCACGGGTCCCGAACGATATTTTTTTTGAGCTCAACGCCCGCACAGCCTCTCACTGTCAGCAGCGACGGCTGGGAAATCGCTGCTGCATCCACCATGCCACTGAGGCAAGGAGGTAAAGCCACGAAGGTGGCAGGATAATATTAGTCAGAAGAACCCGACTCAGCATCCAGGCCCCTCCTTCCCTCACCGCCGCTCCGAGCGGCTTCAAGAAGGCGGAGGGACTTAGAAGCGACGCTGAGCTCTCGGGCCTGACGGGCCTGACGGACCTCCTCCTCCGAGGGGGGGGGAGGCTCGACCGAGGAAGCAGGGACCGCCTCCTCCTCCACCGAATGGTTCCCAGCTGGGGCCACCACGGCCCTGCTGCACGAGGAAGGCTCCTCGGCCTGAGAACCAAACAGAGCACAGATCTGGTGAGTGTTCACCGTCACATCCCGCTTCCTGGGGTTCGGATGTACTCCTCGGCAGAGGTCCCTCCAAGAATACTCAGCATGCCTGGAGGGCCGATCGTTACAAAACTTCCCGAGGCCGTCCACACGTGCACCTGTGCTGTGGTAGCGGCATTTCACGCAAACAAAAAGGTGCGAACCGTCACTGCAGGAGAAAGCCAAAACACGATGTCGCAGTGAAACAAGCACACCTTCATCAAGCTTGCACCTGCCCGTGCATATACCAGGATCAGGGACACCAGACGCCCTGGAACCCAGCAAACAAACACGGCAACGCCACACACCAGACCAGGGGGCCCAGTCGTGCCCAGGCTTGTCCCAGGAAAACCTGGGCTTGGGGGCAGGCGGAATGTATTCGGCATCAGATAAGTCTAGACGGGGCCACTCTAACAGAAGCTTGGCCCCCAGTCGACACACTGATTTGGCAATGTCGATCCTCTTGCTGAGATCTTCACTGCCATTAACATCAGTCGCATGAAACGAAAGCGCAGCTTTGGCCGCCGCGTCTGCATCGTTATTGCATTTGCGACAAAACCGTTCAAACTGGTCGATGCCAGCTTCATCTAAATCTTTGTGAGCAGCGACCTTGACAATATCCTTAATACACGTGCCTTCTCGAGCATTGGCTTCCATGATTATGCCACTGTACACCCTCTCACCCGAGAGGCGCTCGACAGGAGGCAACTTAGAATGCTTAACCACATTCAAGCAATCTGAGAACAGGGTGGAAGGGTACTTGGCCATATTACCAGCCATGCCACGACCTATGAATTCTCCAGCCTGCGGGGTCTGAGGGTATTGAGCCCACGCAGGCCCCATAACCTCCCCTAAAAGGTCCCCGCTGTCATTGTGCATCGTGATGGCCCACGACGCACGGCTAAGTTCACGAATTATGTGCCGCCTGCAAGACCCGTCGAGAAACAGCGAACCCCAGACAGCACCTTCCTGGGGAGCCTCGAAACCTTCGGGGCCCTCGAGCAGATCACGATGCCAGCGGAACACCACATTACCTTCGAGGCAGGGCCTCGGAAGGGTATCGGCGGGATGGGCGAACGCCCCGAAGCAGAAAAGGAGGTCCGAGTAGTCCTCAGCCTCAGTGTCTAGGGCAGCAGCAATGATCCAGTCCTTAGCAAGCTCCGCTCTCTGATCGCACACATGTGGGCATACCCACAGACGGTGGTGCAGCGAATCTGCCGCACCGCAATGGACGCACTTAGAACAAACTTGATATCCACAGGCGATGGCACGATCAGGAGTCCAGATGGCGTTACACGCCAGAGCTCGCACCATGCCTTTTTCACTGGCAGAAAGCTTGCTAGACGCAAGAGCGGCTCGGGGGACATCCAAGCAGAGGCGGCCCCCAGACGACCATTCGCAACCCAAATCCCTTTCCAGAGCTCTGATCATACCTTCCCGACAAAAATACACAAAAGAGCAGGGGAGGTCACTCCGAAGGGGGATGTGGTACCCTCTGTCATCAATAATGGTCATGAAGTTGTCCATATGCCACCCTAACCTGACCAGGCTAAGCCTAAGGGCAGAGACAGGACCCCCGACAAGACCCCAACTGATCCTGCTAAGGCCCCAGACGGCATTCCAAGAATCTCTAAGCTCCTTGAGGGCCAGGGAGTGCGGGAAGACCTTAGTCTGAGCAAGCCATATTTCTTTTCCCCACCTAAGCACAGGCGCGCACGCCGCCCTCCAGGTGGGATCTCCAGCTAAAATACAGCAGGCAATGAGACTCCTGCCCTGAGAAAACGGCCGCACAGTCGAGAAGGCTTGTCTCCGCATCAATAACAGGTCGTGGTCGGAAACACCCACAATGTCGGCCCCGTAGGAGCCGCCCGCAAGAGGGCCCGAGGAAAACACCCGAAGAGTGTTTCTCCCAAGGTCGCCTGAAAGCCTCTTGATCCTCTTAGCTCGACGGCACATAGTAGCCAGCCTCGACTTGAGCCTGCTAGCCCGACCAGAGGCACGAATGGACTTGCCCGCCGTGTAGTCCACACCTAAGTTGACAGTAACATCCTCGATCCTGCCTGCCAGACTGCCAAGCTGCTTGCCAACCTCTCTGGCCACCGCCCTATTAGAGGAGACCGTGCACACTTTGGACAGGGCGAAACTGCAGCCAAGCATGTCGGTCACAGCCGTGTGCAAGGCCTGCGAGCTGGAGACAATAGAGGCAATAACACGGTGACGAGGGCCCGTCGCAGAAATCCCCGAATCGTCGATGTAAATGTCCAGGTCACATCTGGGGGACAAGGGAATCGAGTCGAACGCGTCGAGGGCAAAGACCCTGATGAGGGTGGTGGCGAAGCTGCAGCCCGCCACCACCCCTCGTTCAACAAAAAAGGGGCCCGTGAGGATGCCACCCAGGGAAAGGAAACGGCCACGCCGAAAGGCAAAGATGCAAAGGCGAGCAATCGGGGAGGGAAAACCGTGTCTCTGACATTGGGACATCAACTTGACAAGGTCAATGGTCTCGTAATACTTAAGCATATCATAGAACACACTGCACGAAACCTCTTTCGACGCTGTGCCATGCTCAGCCCGAACAGACTGCCTCCAAGCGACGTCAGCAGCACCTCGATGCCCACCAGCAGCCCAGAACCTGCGGGGGTGTTCTTGCTCCCAGGCGAGGGCGAAGGGGCGCCGCAGCTTCCCCCACACCCTGTACCAGGAGCAGAACACCCAATTGGGTCCCGAACGATAACATGCAGCGTGTTCTCCTCCGTCCCGAGGGCGTCGCTTGTGGGCGCGTATAGCTGGCAAACGAAATCCATAATCCACGCGAACAGCATGCAAACGTGGGAGACGAATATCACCAGCCAAACACTCAACCCTTGCACCATGCCCGTGCGCTCTCGAAGCTTGTCGAGCGGGAGCTTCCGGCTCTCCTCCTGGCCGTCCTTCCCCATCGTGTTCCCTAGATACCTGGCGAAAGCGGTGACGCGGCAACGAGCGAGCTGGCCGAAATGCAAGATTTGGTTCCGAAAGTCTTCCTCCGAGAGTCTCTCCATCAATACGACGACGGTATTGCGAATGTGGATGTGGAAACCAAGCGCGGCCCCTGCAAGGATCCAAATGTCGATCGCGACAGGGGAAAACGATGACCAGGCCACTGCTGACCAGCAAGCGATCGTCGGCGAAGGCTCCTACTTCGTGAAGCGGGCGAGAGAGCTTGCACGCCAGCAAACGGAGAATCGGATCGAGCGAAAGCGAATAGAGACCACGACATCGGACAACCCTGCTTGATACCCCTGGCCAGGATGAACTCGTGGTCGCGATTTCCCTTGAAGGATACAGCAATGAAGTCGTTAGAATAGAGAGCCATAATCGCGCGTCAGATACGACTGGGGAAGTTTATCTTAGCGAATGCGAACATGAGCGCGGCGTGGATCAAGCTAGGATAGGCAGCATTCACATTGAAAAAAATGTAGCCGGTCCTCTGCATACTGTGCAAGGCCAGCCAGTGAAGACATCTAGATTCTAAATCAACGATATTGCTGAGCATCTGACGACCAGGAAAAAAACCCGCGCTGTTGCTCATACGCAACCCTTTGGCATACGGTCCCCACAGGAACGCTCAGAACAACCGATTGAATCTGATTGTCCGTGTCCGACAAAGAGATGGACGGTGTCTCCTCTGCTGCCCTGACTACGAAGCTCGCGTCCGTGGGCTCGACGCCCTTCGCGAGGAATACTGCCATGGCATCGTTCAGGTTGGGTGGGGTGGAGCCGGCCCGGAAGATATGGAGGTAGAGCGGGTGCAGGGTCTTGGTGGTGGTCTTGCCCGCGCGTGCCCAGCCCGAGAAGGGCAGACCGTCGGGTCCAGGTGTTCAGGAATTGGTCATATCTCAGCTCCCACCGGATCTCTGGAGGGACCTCCTGGATTTTATAACATCTAAAAGCGTCCTGGGAAACCTCGACCTCCTCGTGCACATGGCCCCAGTATCAGGCAAGTTCGCGGCAAGACTCGTCAGCTTCAGACAGCGTGGTGCCCGTGGGGTCAATCCTATTCTTGGTCCTCCAGACACTCTTGTCCGAGTACAGGGAGCTGGTTTGACTCTGCCTCTTGAGCTCCGAGATGTTCTCTAGCTGCCTAGTCCCTTCCAACTCGTTGTCAAGTACCCCATTCTGGAGGCCTCCCCAGAACGCGCGAAACGGTTGACCATCGACGAGACGGCATTCACTGTGGCAGAAAAAGTTGACGAGCTGCGGGTAGGCCTTCGAGGCCCGATAGAGCACCACCGAAGTCCCAGATCTGGCGACCCGATGCGCCGCAAGAGCCCAAGACAACCGACTGGCCCCATAGGAGGAGGAGGAGGAGGAGGAGGAGGAGGAGGAGGAACGCACTTAGCTTAAATCCATGGTGATCCAGCTACTGCAAACGACCTGGCACCGCATCGCGGCGAGAGCAGCGGCTCGGATTTCGTGGTGAGATGGTGGCGAAGCAGGGGAGAGGAGGAGGAGGAGGAGGAGGAGGAGGAGGAGGAGGAGGTTGGAGCGTCTGAGAGGAGGAGGAGGAGGAGGAGGAGGAGGAGGAGGAGGAGGAGGAGGGAGAAGTCCTTGGTGTCGGGAGTCCCGGCCGCCGAGGGGGCTTCCGCCCAAGAGGGCCGCCCGCGCCACCGCCCTCCGCGCGCCGCCGGCCTCTCCCAGAGGGGCGGCGGCGAGGGGGGTCAGCGGGCCTGCCGCCGGGAGGGGCGCGCCCGGGGCGAGGGCGGCGTGCAGCGGCAGCGTCCTGGCCGCGCGGCGGCCCTCGGGCTGAGGCACACCCGACGGCTCCACCACGAGGCAAGCACGGTCCAGCCGATGCTCGGACCCGACTCGACCCGGCTCTGCCCCAGACGCGCGACGACTGGAGGATTCCTTCCGCCCGGCATGGCCTGACGTGGATCCCAAATGGCTTCCTCGCGTGCTGGGGCCTCTAGGGCGAAAATGCGCATACATGTCCGGCCTACGAGCCTGGCCTCAAGCGGAGGTGAACAAAGAGACGCACTGTGGAAGACGTGATCGAGAGCCTTTCCTCGAGCCACAACAGAAAGAGGGCACGTAATTCCACGTCTCATGGGAGACCTCACTGGATTCACGGCGTTGCTCGGAATCTATGCAATTAACGTCCGACGAGTCATGACATGTTTCTTGGTCGTTCGAGAAATCGAGTGTCTCATGCTGTCGACTTCCCTTCCCTGCAACTCGTGAGATCTACTTTTGAACAGTGCCTGGCCTGAATTGAAACATTGCACCTTCTGCACTCGGTGGATGCGTTCATTACGCACGTCAGCAAACTGGCATGCCTGCTCGACTACTCCAGAAGATCCAATAGCAAAGTCCCACAGAAAAAGAAGCCGTTGGGATCTTAATAACTGGAGCTAGGATTCGATCGTTAGGACCCGTGTGATGGGAATTTGCGATTGAATCACTGGAGCCTCAGAATCCCATCCCATCGCAAAAGAGCTTGACCAACACATGCACATGGCTTGCAACACCTGCGGCTGCAGCATCGGAAGGGCGGTCCCTGGGAACATCGGCGTTGTTCCTGGAAACGTTGGCGGAGCAGATGGAACGTGTGGAAGCACCTACGTGCGCGGGGTAGGCTTTACAGGCATAGTGAGTACCGAATCAGAGGGACATGCTACAGTCGACAATTCTGATCGCACATGCGTCTTACAGAGCAAATCGCGATAGCAGGGCAGCGTTCTCTCACTCCGCCCGGGCAGGGACAAATTCGTGATTGCTTGCTTGCTTGCTTGCTTTCGCCAGTGTTGCTAACCCAAGCCCAGGGGGGTGGGAGCACAATGAGTCAGTGCAGAAAGAAAGGTTGGCAAGCGAGGTCGCGAAGGCAAATAGAGAACGAGAGGGAGGGAGAGAGAGCGAGAGAGAGAGAGAGAAATAACAAAGGTAAAGAGAACAGACTCGAAGGAAGCAATGACGATATGGTGCTCGTAGCCAACCCAGCGGAAGAGAGCACAATAATATTGGAACGCGAAGGAAACACACACACACACACACACACGCACACCATCACCAACGAACCAAATCCACCATCACCACCGTAATGACCAGCAACGCCACCAGTAGGAGCATAGCAGATGCAAGCACGCCTGGATGGCTATAGTTCGCATGCTTGAGGATACGTCGTCCAGATCGCCCCATCACCACACACCACATGCAATACTTACACCCAGCGCTTAAACCCTCTCGCAGACTTTGAGCTGGTCAAATGATTAGTGTACTGAATTCCTATCCACCCTTTCTGTACGTCCGTGTATACCAGAACAGGAGGGGAAGGAGGAGGAGGAGGAGGAGGAGGAGGAGGAGGAGGAGGAGGAGTGGGAGGAGGAGGAGGAGACCCCCTCCCCTCCCCCAGGCAGCAGCAGGAGAGGCCGCTCGAATCTTGACCACACATCTGCGAGGGGCTCCGTCCTGGCCCGCCCGCCCGCCCCACGAGCTTCTCGGCGGCCTGGCCCCGGAGATCCCGAGAGAGATCCCAACCGCAGTGTCGGTCGGCCCCGCAGACGCCGGCGGCCCAGCCCTGGACAGCACCGATTGAGGGGAACATTTTGGTTGGTCTGCGGGTCGAGAGCGAACCTCTTCCGGTTAAGAGCTAGGCGGGCTACGCAAAGCTCTACTTGGGGAGACAAAGCACCGGCGGGCGGGGCCTCAGGCGGCCGGAGGGCGGGCCGGGGTGCAGGCGGTGCCGAGGAGCTTGCACAGGAAAAGGAACGCCTTGGACAGGAGCCGGAGGCGCCAATTGACGGGAACATGCCACGAAGCGGACACGGAAAATCATGCCGGCGGGTGTTTTGGCGGCCGGCTTGGGGGCAACAAAACGAGGGGGCGGGCCTTGGCAGAAGGCTCGGAAGGCTGCCAGCCTTCCGAGAAGTTGCCTGAGACGTCCTCGGATGCACAGAAAACTATTCAGAAGGACGGAGTGCTTCTAAGAAGCCCCGCCTCCTCCTGATATGGCCGTCTCCTTCTCATTTCCCCCTCGCTTGCCGCCGAGTTTTGATAAGCTCGAATATCCTGACGAACAAAAGCAACATGCATCAAAGCAAACGATCGTGAAATGGAAGTGCTGGTAAATAGTGGGATGAGCAACGAACTGAGTATGATGCTTGCAAGCGTGGACCCCTGACAGTGCGTTCACATGTTGTAGGTGTAGCACGTGATTTACTGTATGTGGTACGCTGCAAGTGGTGCAAACTAGGTGGTGCAATATATGTGGTGCAGGCTATGTGGTGCAAGATGTGTGCTGTAAGTTCAGTGGTGGATTCGTTGTATGGCGAAATGTCTGGTGCAAGCAGTGGCTTACCAGCTATGTGGTGCAAGCTAGGTGATGCATGCTACGCGGCGCAAGCAATGTGGTGCTAGCTAGTTGGTGCACCCAGCGCGGCAACGCCCACGAGGCGCCCACAGGCGGGTATAACACCTGTCAAGCGCACGGGGCGCCCCCGAGTCGCCCACGCGGGCGGGGTCCAGGCAGAACCCCGACAAACACACGCAGCCCACGGTGAGACCACGAGTGGCCAATAACGAGGCACCGGCCGAAACCTCCACACGCCCGCTCAACCGCTTGAGAACGCAGGGATGAAACCCTGGGTGCAAGCAGGGTTTTGGGAAACAACCCAACCAACACAGATAGATCACCTCTTCCACTTTGCATGTGGGAACGACGGCAGGGCGGACCAACAGCGATATCCGGCTGGGCGCGCAAGCTGTGGCACAGTCTCAGTATGGTGCAACTTATGGCGCACCACACTAGGTGCGAAGCATGACGCAACCAAGGCAGAGCGTACGAGAGCCAGCAGCGAGGGTGCAAACACCATGGCGCAGCATACGGCGACAGAACTGTGAACGTGCCCTGGGTTCAACGCGTGATCGGGACGGCCCTGCTATGCCGTGCCGTGGACTGTGCCATGTCGTGCTGTGCTGTGTTGTGACGTGCTGTGCCGTGTGGCGCATATCGTGTCGTTCCTTTTGCTGGTTAGGGCCTCGTTGCGGAGTGGACACCAAACTGAAGAAACATGTGTGCACAAGGGGGGGCATGCGAGAGTTGGCGCCCTGTACCCAGCCGTAGCAGACAGCGCCACCTACAAAACAGCTGCGCTGAAAACGACCACGGTGCCCCTCAGCCACTCGGACCGCAAAGAACCGCGGAGACACTTCCAAGGAGACACCGAGACGATGGCAGAAAGCTTCCGGACAAGCAAAAACTACGAGAGGCCGCGAAACCATGGACCGCACGTGTCACGGGATAGCGGCTCCCTTCTTCCTCGTGCAAGGCCATCCCACAGGCGGAGCCCACACGGAGCCATGGGCGCGATGAACAACTGGTGACGCGCGGGGACTGCGAAGTGTCACGGGACCCGCAGGAGAGACGGCCCTCATCACCCGCCCAGGAGTGGTCAAGCACACGGTTGCTGTACAACGCACCCGCATCTTTGTTTCGGAAAGTCCGTGTCGGGACGACCTGCGCGTCGATGTCTGACACCGCGTGGATCCTTCGACTTTGAACGACAGGCGGCTTTTATATCGCCAGATCGTTCCATTTGGCCGATTCAAGGCCACTGGCGGCGTTCAACCTTGAACGCCCGCGCTGGGGTCGTCGCCGCGTAGACATGGCACGAACCTGCCGTACAGGGGTTGCAACTGTTTTCCTTTGGCAGTAATCGAAGCAACCGCAGGTCCGAGCGGTACGGATGCTCACATTCTGAGTGTCTCGCTGCACCTGACCAGCAAGTGTGCCATGTTGTAGGGCGGAGTGGTCGGAGGAGACGCCGTCCAGAGTGTCTGGCGGGTGCAAGCTCGAGTCAGCCAAGCGATTCTCCCCCGATGTGAACCGCCTGATATGACTGCATCCACCCCTCTTGCTGTGAAGGCATGAGCTCTGGGGCAACCCGTGGCTATTGCTCCTGCGGGGGGGTATGGCGCAATCGCGCCTGCGAAGCGTCACCGCGAGACCTGTGTACCCTCGGTGCTTGGGCGTTCGCGAGTCGGCGCGCGGTTAGAAGCGGTGGTTTGAGCAGGGACCGACCGTCCCGGCATTTCTATAGGCCTACCACGACATGTTCATAGAACCCGAAAATGTTATAAGATCAAAACAATGTTCTTAGAACATGGACCCGATGTGTTCAAACTAGACAGCCCTGGCCAGGAATGTTCTAAGAACATCTCGTGCAGACCACAAAAGGTTCCTATAACATTGTTTGGTAGGCATACAGGCAAGCCGGGACGCCTTGCCACTGCTTGAGTGGTGGCACGGCGGTACTCGTCGTTGTCGTCTTCATCGTCTTGATCGCCACTGCTGCTCTTGATACTTATCGTGGTCTGGATCACGGCGGCGGGCGATACCAGCCGCTATGCGCTCTCTTTCTCTCTCTCTCTCTCTCTGTCTCATTTACTGTTGTATTCTCTCTCTCTCTCTTTCTCTTTCAGGCGCGGCGATCTTTGGAGTCACCTCTCGGAAATGCCGAACTTGGCGTAGAGGGCGTAGAGCTCTGCCGGTGCAGCGTCGTCGCCCGGCCTCCTGCCGACGGCCACGTCGTTCTGCCACGAGGCACGGGGGGGCGTTGTCGGTCTGTTGCGCAGGAAATCTCGCAGCCAGCCAATGGCCGGCTCCGGCCAGCCCCGCTCCGCCGAGCGCAGCCAGGCGTCGTCTGACTCGTACCGGGAACACCGGTACGTCTCGCTGTTCGGGAAGCCCAGCGCAAGCTGCATCTTGTCGGTGGTATCATCCACCAGCTTGTCCAGTCGATCGCACGTGCTCAGCCAGTACGTCTCCGCCCTCTCGGCGTCGCCTCGGCTCCACCACAGCGCGGCCAGCGCGGCCCTCGCATCGATCGCGGCGATGGCCACTCGCTGCAGCAGCGCCACGTCCTCGCTCTGCAGGCCCACAGACCGCCGGATGACGCCTGTGAGGGCCTCCTCGGCGAGGCCGAGCTTGGCACTCCCGAGTCCCAACGCCGTCACACCCGCGCGCTCGGCCTGCACCTCGGCGTCCGCGCGGCCGCCCACACGCCGGAAGGCCTCTGCCGCCGCCTGGAAGTCCTCCACGGCGCCTCCGAGGAGGCCCAGCTGCTGCTTGGCCGCGCCCCGGCCGCTGAGCAGGGGCGCGTCCTCCAGGGGCTCCCCGAGGAGCTCCGCGGCCACGTCGTAGTCTGCGAGCGCCTCGCGCCAGCGGCCCAGGGACGCGAGCGTCTCGGCCCGGGCGACCAGCGAGCGAGGCAGCTCCTCCGAGGTGGCAGCAGCCGCCGAGGCAGCGTTGGGAAGCAGCCGGAGCGCCTGGCCGATGTCCTGCAGTGCGGCCTCTGGGTCGCCAGCGCGGCGCCGCACCGCGGCGCGGAAGCGGAGGATGGCGGCGACCTCGTCGGGCGGCGCCGATCGCCCCCTCCGCTCCCATCTCGTCAAACTCTCGCTCCAGAGCCGCTCTGCATCCTGCAGCGCCGTCCGCGATGGGAACGCGCCCAGCCTCCCCAGCGCAGAGTAAGCGTCCCGCAGCACGCGCTCGTCCCCAGCTTCCCAGACATCCGCCGATATGTTTTTCCCAACCATCCTGTGGTGTGTGGTCCTTGTTTTGAAGAGACAGTGACCCACGTCACCTCACTCCTCCTCCCGCTGCCCCCTCCCTCCTCCCTCCTCCGCATCATCGTCAGCATCATCAGCATCATCATCATCATCACCATCATCATCATCATCATCATCATCATCATCATCATCATCATCATCATCATCATCATCATCATCATCATCATCATCATCATCATCATCATCATCATCATCATCATCATCATCATCATCATCATCATCATCATCATCATATTAATCATCATCATCATCATCATCATCATCATCATCATCATCATCATCATCATCTTCATCATCATCAACATCATCATCATCGTCATAATCAATATCATCATCAGCATCAGCATCAGCATCAGCATCAGCATCAGCATCAGCAACAGCATCATCATCATAATCATCATCATTATCATCATCACCATCATCCTCATAATTATCATCATCAAAATCATCATCAGCTTTACTATCATCATCATCATCATCATCAGCAGCATCATCATAATCAGCATCGTCACCATCATCATCATCATCATCATCGCCATCACCATCCTCATCATCAGCATCACCATCATCATCATCATCACCATCATCATCATCATCATAATTTTCATACTCACCATCATCATCAACAACAACATAAACAGTATCATCATCATCATCGTCATCATAATCATCATCATCGTCGTCGTCATCATCATCAATCTGTTGGCCTCATCATCACCCTCATTAGGGGCCCCACCGGAGGTACCAGTGACACAGCTCGCATGCGTCCCCGCCAATGAGTTCGGCGCGCCCACCACACGTTTCATGGAGCCAAAAGGAGCTCCACCGAAGGTCCCCGTGGCGCAGTTCGCATGCGATCCCGCCATCCATTTCGGCACACCCATCAGACGTTTCGTGGCCCCATAGGCAGCTCGACCGAAGGTCCCAGTGGCGCAGTTCGCATGCGTCCCCGCCGCCAATTTCGGCACACACCTCACACGTTTCGTTGCCCGAAGGGGGGGGGGCGCCACCCAATGTCCCATCGGCGCAGTTCACATACGTCCCCGCCACCCATTTCGGTACACCCTTCACACGCATCGCGGCCCCATATGGAGCTTCACCAGAGGTCCCAGTGGCGCAGTTCGCATGCGCCCCCGCCACCCATTTCGGCACGCCCCTCGCGGGCTGCGTGGCCCCAGAGGGAGCTCCACTGAAGGGGCCACTGGCGCAGATCGCATGCGTCCCCGCCACACATCTCGGCACACCCCTCACACGTTTCGTGACGCCAAACGGAAGCCACCCAAGTTACGGCTGGCGCAGTTCGCATGCGTCCCCGCCACACATGTCGGCACACCCCTCACACGCATCGTCGTGGCCCCATAGGGAAGGTCCCAGTGGCGCAGCGCGTCCGCGCCACCTATTTCGGCACACCCCTCACACGCTTCGTAGCCTTATGGGGAGTTCCACCGAAGTTTCCCGTTGCACAGTTCGTATGCGCCCCCGTTACACATTTCGGCACTCACCTCACACGTTTCGTGGCCCCAAGGGGGGAGCTCCACCCAAGGTTTCACTCGTGCAGTTCGCAGGCGTCCCCACAACACATTTCGGCACACCCCTCACACGCTTCGTGGCCCCAAGGGGGGAGCTCGACCGAAGGTCCCGGTGGCGCAGTCCGCATGCGTCCCTGCCACCCATTTTGACACACCTCTCACGCGCTTCGAGGCCCCATAGGAGCCCCACCGAAGGTACCAGTGGCGCAGCCCGCATGCGTCCCCGACACCCATGTCGGCACACTCCTCACATGTTCCGTGGCCCAATAGGGAGCTCCACCGAAGCCACAATGGCTGCGTCCACATGCGTCCCGCGCCCACTTCGGCACACCTCCCACACGTTTTCGTGGCCCCATATGGAGCTCTGCCGAAGGCCCCAGTGGCCCCATGGCTACGTCCACATGCGTCCGCGCCGCCAATTTCGGCGCACCCCGAGCACGTTCGTGGCCCCATAGGGAGCTCCACCGACGGTGCCAGTGGCGCCGCCCGCATGCGTCCGCGCCCATGTCGGTACACCTCTCACATGATTCGGACGGAGGGCAGAGTAGAGAAGAAGAACACGGACGACGTCAGAGGTCGAGGCGACCCCTGCGGGGCAACCAGCGCGCTTCGCGGGGACTCCGCGTCGCGCCCCGCCCAAAGCCGCGGTCACCGGGGCGCGAGAGCACAGAGTGGGAAACATCTGGGAGCCCACCATCCCGCTCCGCTCCCCCCATCGCCCCTGCCTGCGCTGACACGCGCCTCGTTCCTCCTGCGGCGCGCTGACTATGAGATCTACTCGGAGTTTGCGCCCCCGTCCTCGTCTCATCTCCCTCGCGGTACTCGCAGCTGCACATGGTTGGGTCTTTCGTCAGGCTCATTGTTCCATCCGCGACTCCCAGGCCCCCGACCACCCCCCGTGGGGGCACCTTGATGAACTCAGCCGCGTGGGGGACGAAAAACCCAAGACGAACGCCAGGCAGCAGTTGACTACCTACCAAACCACCCCGACCAAACCCGAAGACCCGAATTTCGGGTTGGGGGGGATAAGGGTTCCACATGTCTTTTTTCGATGTTTCCCGACCCCCCCACTGGAAATCGAGTGTAAATCTGAGCCTTCGGGCTGGGTTGGGGTGGTTTGGTGGGTGGTGAGCAGTGGAGCAAAAAAACATACCGTCGGAGATCTGGCTTCTCGACCGCGCGCAGGGGTGACCCTAGGCAAGAGGGACCCCTGGCGCGCGACTCAGGGGCGCGAGGGGGGCCGAGCCGGAGGGCGCAGGCCGCTGCTGTCGCATCGCACTCAGCGATCGGGGGGCACCAGCGGGCCCGCACCAAGGGCCACTCCGGCGAAGGGAGGAGGAGGAAGAGGAGGAGGAGGAGGAGGAGGAGGAGGAGGAGGAAGAGGAGCATGAGGAGGAGGAGGAGGAAAAGGAGGAGAGGGAGGACGAGGAGGAGGAGGAGGAGAGGAAAAGAGGAGGACTGAGGAGCAGGGGAGAGAGGGAGAGGAGGAGAGAGGAGGGAGGAGGGGGGACTGAGAGGAGGCGGGGCATGAGGAGCAGGAGAGGGGAGCAGGAGGAGGAAGGGAGGAGGTGGAGGAGGAGGAGGAGTATGACGAGGAGCAGAAGGAGGACGAAGAGAGGAGGAAGAAAGGAAAAAGGAGGAGAAAGGAGGAGACGGGGAAGGGAAGGGGAGGGGGACTCAGGAAGGGGCGGAGCATGAGAAGCAGGAGGAGGAGGAGGAGGAAGAGGAGGAGCAGCAGGAGGAGGAGGAGGAGGAGGAGGACGGGGAGGAGGGGGGCTGAGAGGAGGCGGAGCATGTGGAGCAGGAGGAAGAGGAGGAGCATGAGGAGGAGCAGGAGGAGGAGGAACAGGAGGAGGAGGAGGAGGAGGGGGAAGAGGAAGGAGGAGGAGGAAGGAGGAGTGGGAGGAGGAGGAAAAGGGAGAAGGAGGAGGAGGAAGGAGGAGGAGGAAGAGGAGGAGCGAACGACGAGCCGAGGGGGGGAGGGGGCGACGTCAGTCTCATGAAGGAACAGCCGCGCTGCCGATCACAGTGGCGTCGAGCTTCAGAGCGCCACGGGAGGCATGGACGATGCTGTTGATGTTCTGGTAGCTCTTGGCGACCTTGGAATTGCCATTGTTCAGCTGGGTGTTCTTGTAGTAGCACGTGCGATTTGCGAGCGACCGAATCACGCGGGTACGTGCTTGATCTTTTTGTCAGGCATGCCAGTGTCGTCGAAGTTGTCGCCATGAGGGCCGAGCCATGCAATGGCACGCGGATGTAGCTGTCCCCGCGGGGGGGCCACGTGGTACCACAACCTCCTGCGGACGGTGTAGTGGCCGATGGAGTCTACGCGGTACTTGGGCTTGCACCCAAAGCTGCATCCTCGCCGATATGGTTGGACATGTAACCAATGCGATGTGGCCCACCCTCCTGCAATAGTCTTCATCACGGGCCAGGGCTGTGATGGTGGGGGCCGCGCGAAATCGGCTCGAAGGTGACGTCGTGAGCCGCGGCAGGTACTAGGCAGCTGCAGGAGCATGGTCATGTCGCTGCTGTAGTCGTAGTCCTCGGTGGCGTCCATGTTGGGGTCGGGAATTGAGCTGGCGCGGTCGCTCTCGATGCCCGCCTCGAAGATCCATCGGCGCCGCGCCAGATGCTCTGCCACGGCATTGTCGAAGTATGCTTGGAGCTCCGATGATCCGGCGCCGCTGAGGGCCGTGCGCGATGATTGCGACTGGGAGATGCAGAACTCCAGGTCACCCAACAAATGCGCCGAGCACGGGCGAGGAGAACGTCATCGTATGCTTTTGGAAACAGAACTTGCTTACTGCGCCGGCGTAGTGGACGGATACCAGAGAGAAAACACCACTTGTTCCAGTCGGCTTCAACGGAGGTGTCCTCGTTGTCGGTGTCGGGATTCGGCAGCCAGTGGGATGCCCAATGGTGTAGAATTTCTGCGATGGCCTCGAGCTCGGCGCTTGCTTCGCGGTGGCCGTGCTCTGCGCCATCATCAGGAGTGGCAGAGGGCAGGCTTGGTAGAGCAATTGAGAGACTTCCTGGATTCGGGTGTCCGTCTGGAGGTTCGTCTTTGGCAGCAGCGGGAATCATCAGCTTCGCCAGCGTTTGGCGATCGTGATGTCGAAATTATCCCCGTAGAACATGCGCTGTAGCGCGCGAGCGAACGTGGATTGCGGCGGTTTGCGACTGGCAGCACGGGGCGGGTCAGCTCCAGCATCGCGCCGGGCATGGCGAGAATAGCGCGCCTCCGAGGCAGCAGCGCGAGCCTGTTGATGTCCACGGCGCAGATGCTCGCGGGCGCGCTGGGGGTCGTGATGTTTGCGCGCCATGATCTTGCAGATGGAGCCATTCTCCGTGGGGTAATTGTGTCCGCGTGCAGCGCGCTGAAGGTGTTGGGCCACCGA